AATAATCTTGTTTACATTCAGTGCCTGCAGGCGCCATCATTGTAATGGAGAATGCAGGGACGGCTCCCTACATATATACATATACATATACATATACATATACATATACATATACATATACATATACATATACATATACATATACATATACATATACATATACATATACATATACATATACATATACATATACATATACATATACATATACATATACATATACATATACATATACATATACATATACATATACATATACATATACATGTGTATGTGTGTGTGTATGTATGTATGTATGTATGTATGTATGTATGTATGTATGTATATTGTGTCTGTGTGCGCACACCATGATATTCATGTGGTGGTCAGAGAACAGCTTGTGGGAGTTGATTCTTTCCTATCAGGTAGAATTTGAAGACTGAACTCAGCTTGTGAGGCTTGGCAGAAACGGCCTTTACCCACCAATGATCCTTAATTATCTTGCCAATCCTCTAAAACAATTTTAAAAGAAACTTCTTAACATTTATTTATTTATTGATGTGTATGTATGTACATGTGTTTGGGGATGTCTTGCTGTGGGCTGTGTTTGTGTACAAGGTAGACAACAACCTGCCGGAGTTGGCTCTGTCCTTTCAGTATATGGGTTCCTGGGATTGAACTCAGGTCTTTACTTGGCAGCAATAACCTTTAGTCACTGAACATCCTACCAGCCTTGGTTTTTATTTTGTAAAATCATTTATATTGCACTATATAAGGCATATGACACTGAATTTGCCACCTCCATTTTAAGAATATAGTTTAATCCTATCAACTACAATGACATTGTTGTGAAGCAGATATGTAGAACTTTTTCATCCTGCAAAACTCAAACTGTGTCTATATTAATTACCACTTCATCTTTGCCTTTCTACTTTCTATTTCAATGGCTTTACTTCCATTAGCTGCTTCATAAAAATGTAATTATACAGCCTTTGTCCTAGTGTGTCTAGCTTATTTCACTAAGACATATTGTCTTAAAAGTTCATCGTGGCTGGATGGTGGTGGTGCACACCTTTATCCCAGTACTTGGGAGGCAAAGGCAGTTGGATCTCTGTGAGTTCACGGCCAGCCTGGTCTACAAAGCAAATTCCAGGACAGCCTTGCTATATAGAAAAACACTGTCTTGCTGGGCATTGCTGGCACACGCCTTTAATCCCAGCACTTGTGAGGCAGAGGCAGGCAGATCTCAGGGAGTTCGAGGCCAGCCTGGTCTCCAGAGCGAGTGCCAGGATAGGCTCCAAAGCTACACAGAGAAACCTTGTCTCGAAAAACCAAAAAAAAAAATAAAAAAAAAATAAAAGTTCATGCATGTTGTAGCATGTGATGGTTTCCTTTTTAACTAAGGCTATATAGTATTTCATTACTTATGCACAGCACGTTTTGTGGAGCTTGCCTTGCTTTACTTTGTAGCTAATGCTAATGTGTCAACATTGAGATCTTACTATGGATTAGTTAGTGTGTATGTAAAGTTGGGATTGCCAGATCATAAGGGAATTCTATTTTCATTTGTTTATGGAACTTCCATACTTTTGGATATGATAACAATATTCTGTTTTATACCTCTATCAGCAGTGCATTGCAGTTCAAGGTTTTAAACTATCTTTTATTGACTCACATGGCTACTAAGATGAATTTAGTTCACTTTTTGTCTTCAGAATCTTTCTTACTTAAAAATCCACTTAATTGTCCTCTCAGCAAAGGATGTTAGATTTAATCCATCTCTCCTTCTTGGTGAGTCTGTGTTGTCTTTAATGTTGGGTGGCTCATTTTAAAATGGGAATTACTATTTAGTTACAATTTTTATGGTTTTGTTTCTCAACTCCTTTTGTGTGTTTCTGTGTCTGTGTGTATGTGTATGTATGTATATTTGTGCATATGTGAATCTATATGTGTGCACATGGTTGTTTGTTTGTGCATGTGTTTGTGTGTATGTGTGTGCGTGCAGTTGTATGTGTTTCACTGTGTGCGTGCATATGGAGGCCAGAGGCAACTTTACATGTTGTTTTTAGATGTTATCCACTTTTTTGTTTGAGACAATGTCTCTTACTGACCTGGAAGTCACTAAATAGACTAGACCATCTGCCTAGTAAGCTCCTGGGATGTGCTTGTCTCTGCCTCCAGCAGTTATGCCCAAAATTGACCACTGACATCCAAATCATTTGTAGTACAAACACACACACACACACACACACACACACACACACGAGCCTGAGTTTTGTTTTTGTTTTGATCTTTGTTTTTTTTCAGTGGGATTACAAACACACACACACACACACACACACACACACACACGAGCCTGAGTTTTGTTTTTGTTTTGATCTTTGTTTTTTTTTTTTGTTTTTTTTTGTTTTTGTTTTTTTTTGATAGATAATGAGTACTGTTTATTATGAGGATGATGTCCAGAATGGGACAGGCTATAGACAAAGGGAAATTTATGTGATATTTCATATGTCTTGAAACTTACTGTAGTTACTAGAATCCTTGCTGCAAAAGTCATGGAGAAGAAAGGGAAGATACTGGATTTGCTATGACAGAGATTTTTTTTTTATATTTTTCTTACTTATTAATTTTTTTCTCTCTTTTTATTATTATTAATTCAAGTTAGGGAACAGGCTTGTTTCACATGTACTTCCCCTCTCCCTCTCCCTCTCCCTCCCCTTACCCCCATTCCTTCTCCCCCACCTCCAACCTACCCCCCACCCCATCCACCCACCACTCCCCAGGCAGGGTAGGGCCCCCAACCGGGGCTCCACCAAGTCCACCAAATCTTCCTGTGCTGGGCCTGGGTCCCTCCCCATGTGTTCAGAGACAGAGAGCATCCCTTCAAGAGGGATGGGCTCTCGAAGTTCCCCACATACACCAGGGCAAAAAGCCAGTCCACCTCCGGAGGCTCCCAGGAGTGCAGGGGCCTCCCTGATAGCATCCATGATCAGGGGGCTGGATTAGTCCCGTACTTGTTTTTGTTTTGATCTTTGTTTTTACCTTGGTTCTGGGGATTGAATTTAGATCCTTATACTTGCAAGGCAAGCACTTTGTCAACTGAACTATCTCCCTCAGCCCCTTTCCTTTTAATATATTAAAAGTCTGAATTGAAATATGATCTAGTTTTATGGCACCTTTTACAATTTCAGGATTTTTACCATTTCTTGAGTTGTCCTTCACCTGGAAGTGTAGATCCACTTAAAGCACATGGTGCTGATGGTTTTTCAGAATATCCCTGCCTGATGTCACTGGCTTACGGATGATATGTGCTACCACTGTGATCAACCCCTTTACTCTAGTTGGAGTGACTCTGATCCTTTGACACTCAGTCACTTGTAGTATTAAGGTGAGCAAAGCATCTGATCTCCTACACAGGCTGAAGTGGTTACATATAAGCTACAGTAAACAAGGTCCAGGGACTTAGAGGAGGGAGACTATAGAGAGAAACATATCTGGACATGAGTTAGCATCCAAGCAAGCAATGGAGAGCTCAGATACACGGGTGAGCCTTGAGGGATGGGCAAGGGGCTCAGGGATGTACTGAAGGACAGCGTGATCATACAACCACTGCTAGCCTAAGGAGCTGGAAGATTAACATGGACTCTGCAAGATAGAAAAGAGCTTGATTTTGAGCCAAAATGTTTCAAATCAAGAACTGTATTAGCTTGTTATTGCTGCTATAAGCTCACTGTGATCTTTGGGAGCTTAAGACAATTGAGGCATGCTCCTCTGCAGTCCCAGGGTTCTGTAGTGAGAATGGGTGTGGCTGCTCTCAGATCAAGGGATGGACAGCAGTGTGCCTGGAGGAGGCTCACAGGGAAGAGCTGGCAGAGCTCCACTCACAGACGTGATCTTTGAGAAATCATAGAATTTCTCATGTCAAATCATGGGATTTCACATATGAATTGGACTCCTTTCTCCTCTTCCCTACTTTTTTTTGTATATGTATATGTGTGTGTGGTATGTACATAGAATTACACGTGCATATGTGTACACATGCATAAGGAGAAGAAAGGAGATTGATTGATGTAGGCTGTCTCCACCTCATATATCGTGGCAGGGTATCTTGCTAAATTCAGAATTTCCATGTCAGCTGGTCTAAGGAGCGAGCTTGCTCTGGGGATTCCCTGGCTTCATGCCCTCCAGCATTTTTTGGAATATCATGAGTCTTTTCCTTTAACCCTGTCCTGTTCAGTAGTTTATTACAGACCTGAATGAAGTCACACAGGCACATGTTTCTGTTAACCCGAGAACATGGAACTTGATCTATGCTGTCTTGAGGTTGAGTTTTCACACTTCTTTACATTGCAGGAAGGGGCTCTACTCTTTTAGCTAAAGTAGATATAAATGAACTACGTCTACTGAACACAATTTGGGGGTCAGTAATACATCTTAAGAATACCCTTTAGAGTATGCTAGTCTAATAAGACTAACCTTCCCTGTCTTTTTCACATGTACTGTCTGTTTATATTGTTGCCAAAGAACAGTGTCCACAACCTCCAGACCAGTTGGTTGTCAGTCTTAAGAATCACCCTTACCACATTGTCACAGATGAAGTTAGAGTCACATTTTTCAGTTCTTAGCCTTTATCTTCTCTGAGTGGCACTAGTCAATTTCAGATGAAAGCTTATTTGTGGATAAGAAAACATTTCATAAGACAGGAAGGAGGATTCCCCAAGGCAGAATGACCTGATTGGAATCTGTTCAGCACAAGATGTCCACCCATCACTTCCCAAAGATGAAGGGAACTATGGGACAGCTGCTGTGAGGGAGAAAAGCCCAGGCCCAGGAAATTGCCCAACTCCAGTCTTGTCAGCTGGAGCCATTGCCAACACCCTCTCACTTAAAAAAGGGGAGGGGGCACGAATATTCATGGCTGATGCTGGGGACAGTGCCATTGAGGCAGTTGGCAGAAGACTAGCATTTCCACAGTCGTAGGCCAGGTAACTTTCTATGTCTATCCAAGAGGATGTCTCACCAGAGACTGATGAAAAAATTCAAATTATTCTGTTCACTTGGCAGTATCTAAATGTCTCATTCACAGTTCACAGGAAGGAGTGCTGTAGAAGTTATCTCCGGTGACACAACAGTGACCGCAAATCAATATAAAGACAGTCATTTTATATGGTTGAGCAGTCTCTGTGTGTGTGTGTGTGTGTGTGTGTGTGTGTGTGTGTATACAAGTGTGTGTGTGTGCATGCGTGTGTGTTCCTCTTCATAGTGTATATGTAATTCCAGTTACACAAAGACATGCTTTAGACTGCCCTTTGCTCAGTTTCATGAAGGAAGGGTATTTTATAGTATCAGCTACCAACAGATTCTTGAGCTTAGTTCCCAGAATTCCCAGTGCTTTAGAAATTATGTGCTGAGTTTCCTGTGCTCTTGTTTACTGTTTCTGCAGTCCCAGGGATGAACATGGGGCCTGCACATTACATTCTAGATAATCCTTTTGTTGCAGAGCTGTATCTTCAGCCTGAGTTCTCTTTATTCCCTCAAGGCCTAAGAAGTGTATAGTGTGTGCTAGACCCAGAAGCACACCTACTAACATTGGAACTTGAGAGAAGATGAGCATGGCTCCTGTAAAACAATATGACATGTGAATTCACAAAGCATTCCATATTTTTAAATGTCACAATGAACCATTAGTTTGTATAATTAATATGTTCTGATAAAATATCTTTTAGAAAGAAGGTATGGTAGGCTTGAAAGCTGGAGATCATAAATAACTTTCTCTTTCCCAGTACAGCAAATTCCCTTTCTATCAAAACTCTCTTTCATGATGACTTTAGTTTTGTCCTTAGCCCATTGCAGATAAACTCTAATTCATATGGTTTTTAACTATGACTTAATGTGTCAGTCAGTTACTTGACAACCAGCATGCATGTATGTCAATTCTAGGAGCAACATTTTGAGAAAGGTTAAAGTAGGGATCATTGGAGAGGGTTATTTTTTTTTTTTTTTTGGTTTAAAATAGTTGGTGGAGTAAAAATAATTGTATAAACTAAGAGGGCAAAAGCTAAATTGTAATATGTGGACTAAAATAGCTTGTAGTTCACTTGAGTCCAAGTGCTAAATATGTAATTATTTTTTGTTACCTTATATGGATAAGAGTTCTTATAATTTTTGTTGTTGTTGTTTTCAAGACAGGGTTTCTCTGTATTACTTTGGAGCCTGTCCTGGAACTCGCTCTGCAGACCAGGCTGGCCTCAAACTCACAGAAGATCCGCCTGCCTCTGCCTACCAAGTGCTGGGATTAAAAGACATGTGCCACCAACACCTGGCCAGTTCTTATAATTTTTAAAATCCCACATTTTATTTCTTCTGTTGGTTTTTAAAATGCATATATATGTATATACAGATACATACATACACATAAGCCACCAGATGTTAATAAGGTAAAGACTTTGAAATTACCATTTCAACCAGAGACTAACATTTTGCGCTAGCTGATAGATGTTTGTTTATTGCTAGGTAGTTTGCCTTTATAAATTGGAATGAAGAATATAGAGATTGAATTTGATTTATCATTTCACCAACTCCTCCAATTTCTTGGAATCCCATGGCACCTTTTAAAGTCCTGTCCCCAAATGACTTAAGAATCACTTTTGAATCCATGGTTTCCATGAGTGAGTACTACACATCCCTCAGTGGTTAGAAATTGTTTGCACTATGCAGAGCATTTCTGTGGACCATGGGCCAGTCTCCTGTATATGTGCCCCTGTAGTCCTCAGTCTCTTGCTCTTCCCTGTGCATATAGCCTTCCCTGTTTTAGCCATCCACCGTTGCTCTTCTGGATACTTTGCCCTCTTGCTCAGTTGTTCCTTTGTCACTTCACTGTGTAAAGGCATTAGATCTCCACAGTTTGGGAATTTTAAACAAGAAACATCACGATCTGTCCACAATGTGTTTGGAAGAAAATGCCCTGCAGCTGAAAAGATATGAACCAGTCAGGGACAATGGCAGTGTCTAGCCTAGAGGTCATGTAGCTCCCTCCATGTGGTGGCAGGTGCCAGAGGATGTGAGAAGTGACTGTGTTCTGTATGTGTTTCCACTCTGTGAGGTAAGAGGGATAGCTAGATGTCAGGGTGATTGTGGATTTTTTATTGTTGTTCTGAAAGGATAGCAAAATGTCTATTGCAATGAGGAATAAGTTTCAAGGAAAGAAAATAAAATAGGGAATTTTCATGGTATTGGAGAAATAAATTTAAATTAGGAAAATGTCTGGAGTGGAGCTAGGGTATTTGGGAGCCATTAGTGCATAAACATTATTAAGGTTGTGAGCTTGTATGAGGTCTGCTGGCAAGTGTAGCCAAGCCAAGAGGTCTTGGAGTTAAGCCCAGGCATACTCTATTGTTTTGAGGTTGAGGAGATTAGACATAAGGCCAAGTAGAGTAGCAAGGACCTGGAAGCTAAGTGAATTATGTTCTAAGAAATGGGTGATTGGCCCTCCCAGAGTGCAGCTGACAAGACACTGAGGTGAAGACAGAAATGACCATGGGATTTAGCAATGGGGAGGTCATTGGTGACCTTGCCAGAGCTGTTTTGTTGGAGTGATGGGCGAAGAAGGGTTGACTAGAGAGAAAAACAAAAGAGAAAATGTAGACCTCAAGTAGATGTCCCCCTCGGGAGGATGATTTTATACCATAGAACAAAGAACAAGATGAGAGCTTAACAAAGGAGTGAGATAGAAGAAGGCGTCCTTTAAGATGATGCTTGCATGCAGATGACAGTGAGCAGAGAGGGAACTGACTTTATAGGAGAAAGAGAAGAGTGTCAGTGGGAGCTTGGGTTCTTGGCTGAGCACTGTACACAGTACCAGGGGAAGATTTACTGTTTTCTTTCTATTCTCAGTACCCAACAGGCTAGTGGCCTTCGTATAAAACCCCGCTTAACACTGTAGAGTTAGATGTGGCACTAGCCTTACTTCTTCCAAAGTATGATCCCCTCCCTGATAGTTCCAGTATGCCTTGATCCAAAGACCCACTGTTAAATAGGGAATGTTGTCTTTAGAATCTTCTAGGAGCTAAACACCAGAAGTCTCGGGCTGCAATAGAAGGGCAGCTGCTCTAGGATCCCACTACCCCTCCTTCAGCAATCTCCTTGAGGTGTTGGCAGATCATTGTGTGGCCCTTGGGAATGAGCCCAATTTGGGCTGCTTAACTTTGAGCATCAGGCTTGTGCCTCACCTATGGCATTCCTGGTGTGGAGGGTTTCTGTCTCTCTTGCTTACCTCATCTTGGCTTGGGGTACTCCTCATTTTCCCCCCTTCTGTCACAAGGTTGGGCTTGTGATGGTAGAGAAATACCCCATGGTTAGCCAGAGACAGATGCAAGTTAGATGTTGTAAGTGGTAAGGAGAGCGCTGAGCTAAAGTTTGTCTTTCTGTCTCCATTTCTCAAGTTTCAAGTCAGAGTTTTATGAGGGCCAGAAGCCTGAGGCCAGTTGTTAGTATGTTTGTAGAAGGGAGTGGTGACACCTGTGGAACCATCTGTAAAAGGTGTGCTTGGCTTATGTGTGGCTCATCCATTCATCCCTAAAAATTAGTTGTGGGTATTTTCTGTGCCTACAGCTATGATTTGGGAGTTTATGTGGTTGAATTTTTGAAGTGTTGGAAGCAGAAAAGATACTGGAAGCTCTGAGGTAATCACAGCATGAAAGGATGGAGAGATATTCTTTTTTAAATATTTGTACTTTGAGAACTTTGTATGTGTTTTGATCATATTCACCGCTCCTCCCAGATTCACCCCACTTCCCTATCCACCCAGCTTTGTGGTTCTATTTTTGTCCCTCCCACAAATCAAGTCTGGTTTATGCTACCTGTGTGTTTTTGCATGTGTAGCCTTCTACTGGAGGGTGGTAGACTTAGCAGGAGAAAGAAAAGTAAAGAAACTGACTCTAAAATAAATTGAAACTTAGAGAAAATGGACTCTTCCCCCTCCAATAGTTTTTCAGTTGTTTTCATTGCCAATAGCTGCTCGACTAAATGTGGACTGTATCCCTACCTTCTCTCTCCATATTGGGACCTGGTTTGGCTTTGGCTTGCACAGGTCTTGTGCTTGCTATCATAACCACTGCAAAATCATGTGTAGCTGCCCTGTTGTATCCAGAAGACACTGTTTCCTTGTAGTTATCCACCACCTCAGGTTCTTATACTCATTCTACCTCCTTTTCTACAATGATCCATGATCCCTAGGAGGAGAGGATTACGGTATAGATATCCTGTTTAGGGCTGGGCATTCTGAAATCTTTAAGATTTTAGCTCTCTGAACCTTGACCAGTTGTGGTTCTCTTTGTTACTAACATTTTTATAAACACAAGCTTCTCTGATGAGAGGTGAGAGATGAGAGATGCATTAATCTGTGTTTCTAAACCAAGTGGGTGGGCTAGAGTAAGAACCATTCTCTAAAGTAGTTTTAGATCATCTGTGGTTTTTGTCATTGTTTGTTTGGTCAAGCATGTCATATTGGAATTCATTGTGTCAAAATCTCCCACACTATATGCTTGCAGCAAGAGAGAGAGAGTGGAAGACTCAGGGTCCCATCAGTTAAACCAGTAGCTTTGCTGCCTTTATTAGGGTCCTTGGAATCCCTAGGTCACTGAGTAGCCTGCTTAGAAAAAGGGCTTACCTAGCATACATGAAGCTCTGGGTTTGTTCCCAAAACACGCACACACACATGCATGCATATGCTCACGTGTATATACAGAACAATTAATTAATTAGTTATTATTTATAGCTTAAGTGTTTTAAATCTTCAGTTCTATGTAACTTCCTTACATAGATTGTAGAAGAAATTACTGAAAACATTAGTTGATAATAATATTACTGAACTTTCAAGAGATTAAAAACTTATCTGAGTTTACATTGATGTATCGTTTTACATGAGCGGGTTTGATCTTTGTATGGACTTCATACTACTGTAATGGGTGTCAGCATACATGATGGTAAGTTCCAGAATCAGTGAGGTGGTATGAGTGCTTAGTAAAGCACACGAGTCTAAGGAGTAGGTTGGTCTCTTCCTGTGTCAGGGTTTTGAAAAATAATATTCATGCATGCATTCTTTCACAGTTTAAAAAAATTCAGTACCACTTTAAAATTTTATCATGCATTGCTCTAGTCTATATTCTACAATATAGACTACAATGCAGAGTTTTTATGTTGAAACTGTGCTGTTTTAATAGTTTAAGAATTCTTTTTAATCCTCTCCTACTTTTCCCGACCTTATTTTTCTGCCCTGTGTTAGGAAACCCTAATCCCAGTTGTCTGCATATTGAAATAGTTGAGGTTTCCCCGCCTCTTGGTCATAATTGTTACTTCTCAACCTGTTTTATATTTAAATCTTTTTCTTTCCCCACAGACTGGTGAATTTTCAGCTCGATTCCTACTGAAGTTACCTGTAGATTTCAGCAACATTCCTACATATCTTCTCAAGGTAAAATATACAATTATCAGTAACAGAATACAAATCAAACTTTGATCATTTAGCTCAGGATTGTATAACTGGTTTGTTCACATTTTGTTCTGATGATGAGTTCTAATAAGACGCTTACTGCAGGACAGTCCATTGGAATTCTGTTTCCGTTGCTAAAGCACTAGGTGGTTATACATTAGTAGTATAAATACATTACACTCAGGAAAATGATTTTTATTTATCAGTCTTACTGGGACGAAAGACTCATAGAGCTTGTCCAAGGCACTCTGCATATTAAGCATGCTCACTAATGATATTTCCCCTTTTTTATGTCAGCAGTTGAACTTAGCACCTTCAAAGTTGGAGCTGTCCCAGGATTTCATAATCCAGCTAGACCAGTATACATGGGTTCTCCAAAGTGGGAAGAGGCCTCAGGAACAACTGTTTGGGAAGAAGTACATGCTTTGTAGACAAAGGGTAGGCTCCAGAAGACTAGTTTGTAGCTAGTGAAAGAAACCAGATAGATCAAAGAGCAAGTTCAGAGAAGGAAAGGCCAAGACAGAGGCCCAGGTTTGGCTCAGATGAGGATTTGGGTTGTAATTTAAGATTTGGCTGGCTGCCCTCAGCTCTTGTTTCAACCTGTGCTTATTTAATTTCAGTCTAATCTTAGAAAATTTCTGTCTTCTTAATCTGATGTTGTTCAGAGAGCTGATGGTATTTATAAATGTTGAGGGGAGAGCCAGGACCCATCCACAAGTCTCCCCACACGTTATAGAAATCAGTAATATCAGCCAGGACTCTTGAGAATGATAGGAAGTTTGTTTTGGTAGAATATAGACTAGAGCAATAGAAGAGACTGGGGTTGCTGAGTGGTGCTGACCAATGACTTTAATCCTAGCACATAAGAGGCAGAGGCAGGCAGATCTCTGTGAGTTCAATGTCAGCCTAGTCTATATAGTGAGTTCCAGGACAGCCAGGGCTACATAGTGAGTTCCAGGTCAGCCAAAGGCTGTATAGTGAGACTTTGTTATAAACAAACAACTAGTAATCTTTTTGTTGTTACTACTTTTTTCTTTATATCATTTTATTTCATTTTCTCTTTTATTTTTGTGATTATAATATGATTACAATATTCCCCTTTCCCATTTCTTCTTCCAAACCTTCTATATACCCTTTCCCATTCTCCTTCAAATTTATTGTCCTTCTTAAAATAATAGTTATTGTGTGCATATATGTATCAACATATATATTCCTAAACATAACCTATGTAATCCATATAATGGTACTTGTATGTATGTTTTCAGGGCTGACTGTCTGGCACCAGACAATCACCTGATGTCCTCTTTTCTGGAGAAAGCCACCTTTCTTGTTCCCATTTTTCCTTAGTTGCCTACAGTTCTTTGTGTAGTGTTGAGACCTCATGAGATTTTTGTCTTCTAGTAGTATCAGAAGCTATACCCCCAAAAGCCTTTTCTGATTCTTGGACATGATCTCATTGCATAACACTGGCTGGCCTGGCACTCACTATGTATAGATCAGGCTGGCTTTGGACTCAGAGAGATCTATCTGCTTCTGCCTCCTGAGTGCTGAGATTAAATGTGTGTGTTACCACACTTAAGTACTCATTCCTTCTGTGAGGGAAAATTATTTTATTTTCCTCTAAATAAATATGGGATTTTTCTTTGGCTCATCAACTTTTTAGTTTCCAGTGGACTAGTTTTCTCTCTGTATCCAGTTGTGTAGTTCAAATGAGACTGGATGCCAGTGGTTTGTCAGTTTCTCTAGAACCTTTGGTGGGGACTGGACCTAGTAGATCCATGATTACCATGTGTAATTAATTTGGTTCCAGCCATCATTGTGCTCTCTTATTATAGCCGGAAGTCTCCTTAGGAACCTGTGAAGTGTGTACTGCAGTATCCTCCCTCGTTTATTCCAGTTAAAACTTCCCATCAACTCATTTAAAACCAAATCCAACGGTATATATGAGTCCGTTATTCTTGTAATCATACTAATCCACATTTCATTACTGTGTACTTGCTCTGATTTATTGGACTTTGTCCTTCGAAGAGTCTTTGTTCTCCAGGAAGAGTCTTCCTGATTGACATCCCTGTTGTCTGTGCTTGTGTCCTCAAAAGTGCAGCCATAGTCAGGGTTTTCTTCTGTAGCAGTAAGTGCCCATATTTCTATGCTTTCTATTTTGACAAGTCTTACTTATGCTTTCCCTCCAGCTTCCCTACCAGCCAGGTAAGAGAAAGAGGAGCATACTAGCCAAAATGGTGAAGTGTTTTTTGTCTTTTCTCCTTAAATTACTCTGAAGTAATTTGTGTGCTATAGATAAAATTCCTGCATGTTTGTCTACACTAATGTCCCTTTTGGATCTTCAGTTATGTAAGAAAGTAAACAACAAGAACAAAACAGGAAAAACTTGTGCAATCCCAAACCACAGCAAAACAATGAAATGAAAGCACACGTACAGCAAACAAGCAAACAAACAAGGACAGTCTCAGACGTAGTACAGAGTACATGTTGGGGGTTTACGATCTGTTGTAAACAACCATGGGATATTTGGCTATGCTTAAAAAATACTTTATTTTTTTTTTTTACTTTATGTGTAAAAAATATGCATACCACATTTGTGCTTGGTGCCCAGAGAGGGCAAAAGAGGGCATTGGATCCCCTGGAACTTGAGTTACAGATGGGTGTGAACCACTATGTGAATGCTAGTATTCAAATCCAAGTCCTCTTTGAGAGCAGCAAGTGCTCTAAATAGTTGAACCATCTCTATAGTCCCTTGGTGTGCTCTTTGGAGAATATTTGCATTAGGAACTCCTTGACTGTATTTGGATACTCCCCACTGTCTTAGTTAGGGTTTCTATTGCTGTGAAGAGACACCATGACTCATGGCAACTCTTATAAAGGAAAACATTTAATTGGGCCTGATTTAACAGTTTCAGAGGTATAGTCCATTATCATTATGGTGAGAAGCATGGTAGCATATAGGCAGACATGGTACTGGAGAAGGTGTTGAGAGTTCTACATTTTGATACATGGGCAACAGGAAATGAACTGTGTTCCACAGTAGGAATATCTTGAGCATATAAAACTTCTAAGACTGCCTCCACAGTGACACACTTCCTCCAACTGGGTCATACCTACTCCAACAGAGCCACACCTCCTATACTCACTCTGGGCCAAGCATTCAACCACATGAGTATATGGGGGCTGTACCTATTCAAACTACCATACTCATTTAATTCCTAGGCCTATAATTGTCTATGTCAGTAAAACAATAAAGTTAACTCCTTTAACTCCTAGGGTTAGGGTATGCTTTGTCACTATCAAAGCAGTCCATCTCACTCTGCTTAGCAGTTGAACTTGTAAATACTGAGATTATTTGGTGTTTGCCATAACACCCTGCTGATTTGTTTGCTGCAATGAGGTTCATTGCATTATGACAACTCACCTTCTACTCTTAGGTTCTTATGCCACGTGTACTTACTAATGGATTCTTTGATATTAGTATGAGCAACTTAATAAATATTCAATGATATGATTTTACTTTATAAGTGGATAAGGTTTTTTTTTTTCCTATTGGTTTTTTTGAGATAGGGTTTCTCTGTATTGCTTTGGAGATTGTCCTGGAACTCGCTCTGTAGACCAGACTGGCCTGGAACTCACAGAGATCTGCCTGCCTCTGCCTCCCAAGTGCTGGGATTAAAGGTGTGTGCCACCCCACCAGGCATGGATAAGGTTCTTAAAAGGAAGCCTAACTTCAGTTCCCGAATTTTACTTTTGGTTGAGCTAAGTCAAACTCTTAGATAGACAAATTACTTATATAAAAACTCAGTCAGTAGAAAAACAATTTTCCAGTCACTACTCTTTATTTTCCAGGTGATAGAAATTCAGCACAAACTTATGTAAACCAAAGGGAAAATGTAAAATTATTCTGCTTCTGTAGTACATCATACAGTAGTGTATCAACCTTCTGTTTGATAAGCTTCAGATCAGGTAGAATGACCTTTCCAAGTATTTTCCTTTTAGGCTCAGTTCCATACCCCACCCGATATATTTGTAGGGAAAAATTGTGCTTATTAGAACAGCTGGGAGGGTCAGAGTGTTATTATTCTTTATAGCTTGAGCAGGAAAAGAGTATTTTGTAATTATATGAGTTGACCATGCAGAGCCGCAGGTTCTGTGTCTGAGTCCATGAATTTAGCCAAGCAAAGACGGAATATTTGGAAAAAAATTGACCTCCACTAAATGTGAGCAGGTGATTTTTTTGGGGGGGGGAAGGGTTGTAATTCTTTCATAATGTAGCAGTTATTTGCAAAACATTTAGATGCTACTAAATATTTGAAGTCTGTGGAGGATGCACATAGGTTGTATGTAAGCACTGTCATTTCCTGCCAAGAACAGGAGCAGGCACCAGGCACAGATTGGCATCCACGAGGAGTCATGGAGCCGTCCGCAGAGACAGCCAGGAACTTTCTCATAGGAGAGAACTCACCATTAGAAGACACTGCTCTTAAATTTGTTAAAGTGGAAAGTGGGTTCTTCATTTCCACCTTTATTCTTTGTTCTGTGAAATACTAAACCTAACAATATAATACTAAGAACATGTTGTCTTTTTTTTCCTTTTGTTTTCTTAAAAGACATACTCTGTGATTAGAGAAAAAGAAAAGATCATAATTTTTCTACTAATTTTTTCATCTGAATGAGAAATATTCAGAAACTACACATATAATTTGGAGTGAGGGAAAACATTTGTTGACATGATATGTATGAATATTTGAACTGATTTCTTAAATTAATGAGCAAGTTTTATACTGACTATACAGAAGTTAAAGTCCTATTGGTGGGGATCTCTTTAGTAATATTGTATAGGAATACATTGGAAACTGTCAAATGTCACTGGACTGGAGGGTTAAGTAGCAATTATAGCAATTATTTCTTGCTGGTAGTGTGTCTTACTTTTCTACTGCTGCAATGAAACACCAAAACCAAAGCAACTTTGCATGGGG